TCCGTCTCTAATTCTATAGACTGCACTGCTCTTTTCTAGTAGATAGAGAAAAATAAAATAGGTTAGGAAAACTTTCTAAGCTCAAAACTAGGATAAAAGTGTAACATTTTGAGGGCATGGGAAAAAACTACTGTCTTCCATGCTTTACTTTTAAAAAAACAGTAAGTAAAAATATGAAATAAAAATGGAAATAGAAATAGTAGCTTCCTGTTTAGGAAAATTAAAATTCTTTTCTTTAAAAAGTAGACATTTATTCTGTATCCTTAGTATATCAAAAGGACATAGACATTGACGTTACATACACTCACGGTAGTAAAAATAGTCTTCAATTTTCATAATGATAAATGTGTACTTTATTACAGATGGAGCCTTACTGTATTTTTTAATGATTGCTAAAATGGGAGGTTAGAGCAGCAAAACCAAAACATCAACAAGATTGACTTTTAAACCAGAAAGTTTTTAAACAGTGCTGAATTTCCATTCCCACCCACTGCCCCTGGTGAAGGACCACACTGCACAGCCAGTCCCATCCAGAGGTGTCCACTGCATGATCCCATCTCTCCACCAAGCTGGAATAGAGCTAAAAATAGAGGATTTCAGTTTTTAGCTTCAGGAACACTTGCCTTTTGTAGCCAGGCTACTTAGGCCAACTGCTGGCTATAGGATTCATACTTAAACATAAAAATAGGGGTCCTGAAGCAATTAGTGCTTATAAGTACATGCAGGATAGGGCATGGGAATCTCAGTGTTGATCCAGATCTCTGTCTTTATGCTGTAGGGTGTCTCACTCATCTGTATGGTCTTAGAGTTTAAAAGTGAAACATCTATCAAAATCTCATTACTTTGGAGAGGATGGGAGCTCATGGATTATAAACTTTAATTTATTTTTTATATCTTAAATTATGGTGCCGTACCTGAGCCATAAATTTTTACAAAACAAACTACTGATGCATTTGAAAGAGTCAAGTAAATACTCAGCACGGTGACAGAGCAGTGATAGAGGGAGTGAGCAGGTGCGTGGGGTGAGGACGGCAGAGAGGTGGTGATGGCACATTGCTTTTGGAACTCCTGCTCTTGTTGTTTTTGCAATAAGATGCCTGTGTTTACTTGGAAAAGAGGAGAGAAGGTTAATGAGATCAGTTCCTGGGAATACAGGCACTCCTCAGTGACTGAAAGGGAATATTCCTGGATCCACCAAAGATCATAATTTCACTCCCAAGTGTCTGCTAGCCGAAAGACATGCCTGTCTGCTTTCAGTTTACTATTATCACAAAGTGCTGATTTATTGAATGGTGGTGTCAAACTTCCCAACAGTCTTTGAGCCTGTGCTCCATAGGGCTTGCTTGCCAGTGCAGGAGACTATAACGGCCATCAGTGTACAAGACAGCATTTTAAATTGAGCAGCACTAAATAGCCTGATCCTGCAAATCTAGGATCTTGCAGTTTATTTCAGAGAGACTGATCTTGCCAAGTTTTGTGTGCCATTTAAGGGGAAATCTTTCTCACTGAGACCAAATGCTTTTGGGAGTGAGAGTGATAAGCCCCTTGAATCCTTGCTAGATAACGCCCATACCTCCTGGGACAGGGCTCAGGAGTTTTGGTCAGTCCTATCATTTATAGGAGGAAAGGTTTGCTAAAGCACAGGAAGGAAGGATAAAAAGCTCAAAAACTGTCGAAAAGATTTGACAAGTAGAATGAAATACAGCCATGAAACCTGTGATGGGAGTCGGGGTAGGAGCTAGCACTGAATCCATTTAGTATGACAACTTCATTAAGTATATAGGTCATAAAAGATTGTTCTGTGGTATTTTATTCTGTAGTATTTTATTCTATATTATTTTATTTCTGTATTATTTTTTCCCTGGTTACACTGGTTGTCTGCAATTGGTCTCTTCCTCTAATACAGTCAGAATAGTGTTGATTCCAGAGATAACACATGGAAAATGAAGGTGATACAGATAGATAATTATAAATACATCTTCTTTGTTTCATGGTGTGGACAGTCTTCCCGTGAAGGTCACTCTGACAATGCTCAGGATGTACTTGTGGAGCTGGTGGCTGGTGCAACGCGAGGCCAGGCAGTGTAATCAGATCTTACATCTGGGTGCTTGCTGTCAGGCTTTCAGGAAACTTCTTTTGCTCCGTGATAGACCTGTTCTCACTGGGCAACGGGAAAAGCCTATGTGACTGTTAAAACAAGAATGGAAAAATATGTATCTGGAATATGCATTGCTTTATCCTGCCAAGCCCAGTGTTTATTGTGGAGGCCAGACACATCTGTCCTCCTCCAACAGATATCATGGTGTTTCTTGGATTAAAAAGGCCGACTGTAGAAGAACAGTGGAAGAAATTGCTTCAGAAGACTGACTTATTGGAGTCCTATATCATATGGACCCTGTCAAAAAAATATTAGCCACAATAAAAGCTGACACTGTGGGAGATGAAAGCAATATTGCTTGATACTGTGATTACCTTTACAGCAACGTGCTCAAGGTGGGCAGTGTGGAATTGAGTCCTTTCTTTGTTTGACCTGGGCCGTCAATATGATTACTTTGGGGATATTTTTTTTTTTGTTTTATGTAATAAAACATATGTAATAAAAGCTTAAAAACTAATAGTTTTGGGAAAGAGACTGGAGACATGGATTGCAGACAGCTATTTGGGTCAAGGGGTTAGATTTTTGCCAGGCTCCAGATGGGGACAGAGAGGAGGACAGGGGCTGGAAGTGATTCTGAAGCTGAATCCATCGAACAGCAGCAACATAGGAATCTGCACCTGATGGGACATTTGGCAAGAGCAAGGTCGATATATGCACTATGCCCTGTATGGGGTATTTCCGAGAATGCTGCTTATGAATGTGTATTTGTTCTGAAAACTTGCAGTAAGTGTGAATAACAAACGTCATTACACTGTCTTTGCATCTTCATGCCCTTACGGATTTACTGGAAGATCTTGGAAAACAGCAGCTTTGGCGAGACAATTTAGTTGTATCAAGGATAAAGAATTTTTGCTGGAAGCTTTACAGAAGAAATAAGATTTGCCTTTTCATTTATATAGCACATAAATTAATCTAGAGAGTGGCCCAGCAGTTTGTAAAGTATATGGGCTTAAAAATAACCCTGTTATGAAATAGGTCATGATGCAATACAACGGTATTACAGCAGCTTAGTTGTGCTTGTTCAGAAGCAGCAAATTATGAACATTTGCTACATAATAGTGGATATTCTACTACTTTTGGTTATTCCTGGGCCCCCAGGTCCTAGAAGAGCAAAAGCAATACCTGAAGCAGCCTTACATTGCTGTTCAGATTTGCAATTCAGAGACGATGTTTGGGATACTATAGGGTGTATTTAAACACAGTGCAAAGGTGAAGGGCTGGTTCTGCAGGGTGCTGAGTGCCTTTAACTGCATTGAAGCCCAGGTGTTTCAGGGTGCTCAGTGTCTCCTCGGGCCCCCACCATACCCAGAGGCACACAGGTTTCTTTTGGTGGAAGGAAGCTGCAGGATGTTTGCATTTGCACTGAATACTCTGCATTGGAGGGAGCTATGTGATTTTTTTCCAATAAGTGGCATCATTACTGTGTCTCCTCCCCTTCCCCATCCTGGCTGGGATACAATCAGCCCTCAAGTATTACTTTCCAAGCTGAAAATCTTAAAAACCATCTTAACATCAATGCTCTTCAATTGCACTGTCAAAAAATGGCTCTCCAGTCTGTTTGAAAACCATGGCTTTTAAAAATATTTTTAATTTCATTAAAATGTGTTAATGTTTTGCCTTTCCCTATGCTTTTGGACTTAGAAGATAATTTCATATGTTACTGTATTTTTTTTCCAGATAAGCAGATACTTTCTCTGTTCCTCTAAAAAAGCTTTTTGCCACAATAATTTAAGATTTCCTCCAGGTTAGAATATTTCTGCATGTAAAACCTCTTTGAAGGTTTAAATAGACTGCAACTGAGTTTTGACATGTATTAGCATGTGTCAAGTACAGCAGTTATTAAGGGTAGTGGAGGCAAGACACATTCCATCTCTCCAGTGACTGACTCGCAGGTGTCCAGATCACTACAGGCCACAAGCGGGCAAAGCCACTAAAAAAATAATCACCCTTTGTTGCAACAAGCATTAAAAACTCCCTTTACCAACCATTTCAGCAACAGATCCCTGAATGATCCAGTGAGGAATAAACTCTAGTTGCTGTCTTACAAAATCGTGTTCCAAGGTTGTGTCTGGGAAAATGGCCTTTTTTATTCCTTTTGATGTAAAACTTTTCTGTGTCTCTTGTAAGGTTCTGCATCCACCCAGAATATATTTTTAAAGTGTATTCAAGCATACATTAGCACAGCATGAGAGCCATTAATTAAACAGGAGTAACTGAGGTCTGACCTGTTCCTCTTCTGAGTCAGCTGAATCTGCATCCGAATAGTTTGTAAGGGAGAAATCATTTGCAATACTGATAGATTAATTTTTTTTATCCTTTAATTGCTTTTATTGATTTACAAGGAACTGACTGAAATTGTCATCTCCCATAGCAGAACTAAAGTAGTTCAGCCTGGAGAAGAGAAGGCTGCATGGAGACATCATAGCAGCCTTCCAGTATCTGAAGGGTGCCTACAAGAATGCTGGAGAGGGACTCTTCATCAGGGATTGTAGCAATAGGACAAGGGGGAATGGGTTCAAACTTAAACAGGGGAAGTTCAGGTTAGATGTAAGGAAGAAGTTCTTTACTATGAGGGTGGCGAGGCACTGGAACAGGTTGCCTAGCGAAGTGGTGAATGCTCCATCCCTGGCAGTGTTCAAGGCCAGGTTGGACAGAGCCTTTGGCGAAATGGTCTAGGGTGAGGTGTCCCTGTCAATGGCAGGGGGGTTGGAAGTGGGTGAACTTTAAGGTCCTTTGCTACCCTAAATATTCTGTGATTCTGTAAGTGTGACATGCAAAAAGAAATACTTAGGACTCAATACTTTTTAGAGCATAACAACTGCCTCTGCACTTCCCTCCCCAGGGCACAGCTTCTGTTCTGCAGCGCAGGTCTGACAACGAGGAGTACGTGGAAGTGGGAAGACTTGGTCCATCAGATTATTTTGGTAAGAAAATTCAGCTCAGGTATGGTTCAGAAAGACAGGCACGTGGAGTTATGTCAAATAGTCATTGTCCTAATTAATGTTCTACTCTTTGACACGAGAGGGGTTATGTGTAGGTCAGCCGCTGCTCTCAGCAATACTGAGAGATGTCGGTGGAGCTGAAACTGTTGCTTGGTTTACACCAGTGTAGCTGACAGGAGGCAGATCCAGAACCAGCAAAACAGTCTGAAAGTGTTTTCAAAGGCATTTTACATGCATGCATTATGCATGTGTGATGCACTTGTACTGTCGACAGAATTATGTAGAGTGTCTATCATAAGATACATACAGGGAGATGTTCTACAACTGAAGCAACTGAATATGCACCCTCCAAAAAAGAATCACAGAGCGTGTATTTATCCCTGTCTCTAGGTGAGATAGCACTGCTGCTCAATCGGCCCCGGGCTGCTACAGTGGTGGCACGTGGACCCCTGAAGTGTGTAAAGCTGGACCGGCCCCGCTTCGAACGAGTGCTTGGTCCTTGTTCCGAAATCCTCAAGAGAAACATTCAGAGATACAACAGTTTCATTTCGCTCACCGTCTAAATGATTCCTTCTGGAAAGCTGCCTCTGTGTGACCTTGTGCACTTAAATTTGCTCTGTGCAGCTCCATAGCTTTATGAGGAAAAAGATTAAAAGTGTGCATTTTACACATATTTTTTCTGTTCATGTCACGTAGTGGATGTCAGTTCAAATCTCATGTATCATGTAAGTAGGAAGACAACTGTTTGGATAAGACTAGCTTTGGGGAAGATTAGGCTCTTGGCTTGCAGGCAAGATTTTTACCTATTGTTGTATCATGTAGCTTAAAACTGTGTTTTTAACTATTTAAAATACATATGAATTTCTATTTCCTTCATTATCTTTATAGTTGTTCTTATTCACCTTTTGTCAAGCTTCTTTCATCAGGAAATGTCCCTCTGCCTGTCACTTTTAAAAGACTTTTCACTGGTTCTAGACTGGAGGTTTCTGAAATCCCACAGGGTGAGTGGCAGTGGCAGAGTTTAAGAGGGAAGGCTGGAGGAAGGTTTTGATCATTCCAGCAAGCCAGGGAAAAATAGAGCTTTTGAGTCATTTTGTTTGTAGCTTAGATACAGGGGCCATATTCCTCCACGTTACAAGCCCTTTCAGGTCTGCTTTGTAGGATATGCTAAACCAGCCTGCTCCAGTCTTCTGTGTGAAGAGGTCAGGGGACAATGGTTTCTAAGAATTCAGACAGAGCCTTTAGGACCCAAGCTATTTGTCCTCAGATCTTTTTAAATGAGGGTTTGCATTAGATCCCTTAAAAGTCCAGCAAGAACATCCCTGCTGAATTAAGTGGGCTTCAAAACATACTTATCTGCAGAAGTATCCTCAGCCACTTCTCTGAATATTGTATGTAATGCTGAAGAGATGGTGCCAGGTGCACCTCAGAGGCACCTCAGAGTTTGTTTTTATAAGGTCCACTTAATTAAACTTAAATGCCTTTCATTTTGTATATTACTAAATTTTAGGACTTTTTAGGGTTTTCTGAAAGCCAAATACATGCTTCAGAATTGCTGCCTCTCCTCCAAAAGACACTGCAAAACCAAAAGCACCAGGATCTTGCAAGAAGCTCCTAGAGCCCAGGTCCCTCCAGGGGTGGGCAGCCTTGCTTAGTGGTTGCTGCTGCCCTGCCTAGACATGGGTCTCCTCTTGGTTGGAGCTTTTTGCAGATCCAGACCTTCCTCTGCTGTGCAGCCCTCAAAGGCGGGAGCATCTAGATGATTCTTTGCAAAGCTTTTCCCTTGAAGGAAAGCTTGTCTTTGGTAACAGCAGCAAAGCTCTGCATCTCAGCTACTCTAAATAGCACTGCCTGCATCTCAGCTGTGACAAAACTCTGTTTCTTCTTTATGGTAACATTTGAGTACATACAAACTTTCTGTATCTTGTACATGCCAAAGGTTTTGCAGTGAAATAAGGCAACAGTCTCCCTTTTAGAACTAGAGGTGTTAGCGAAGAACATGGCTAAAATTACTTCTACTGACATGCAATGTTCTTTCTTCTTTGGAATTAACAAAAACTAACTTGGGACTTTCCTACTGACTCCCACCAAGAGGGCCCAATGCTCCAGTAGCTGTAACCACAGAGGTCGTTACAGAGCAAACTGCTTCTCGGCTTCACACGCCTCTCATCATTTCAAGGTGCTTAATTTATTTCAGCATATTTTCAGAGATCCTGTCAGTGTATATTCGTTGCTACTATTTATTATGATTCTGTTGTGCTTCCTGCACGTGTTACCAAATATGACCATTCACATTTTTCAAACTTCCAATTTTTATCACGTACATTTCTATAGGCAGACCCCTATTCTATATATAGATAAATGTTTGTGTTTGCAAAACTTTCGATTTGCTTCACTGTCTTTGTATTCTCTTGTGCAATTTTTAAAAGAAATATTTTTTAAAGGCTACCAGTCACTCATGGATGTTCTTTTACCTATTGCATTTCTGTTGTATTGGTAAAAAATGGTGAGTGTTTTGCATACCATGCAAGATACATTTCTTGTTAGACACCAAGTATTAGCCTCGCTGTTTAGAAGTTACTCAAGCACACACACACACACCACATCCTTTGCTTTAAATCTTTACAGCTCATGGAAAACACATTTGAATTATGGTTCTGTTATAAGCAATCTCAAGAGGAGTGTAACCATTTAACACCAGGATTCCTATGCTGTAAGTGGAACAAAATGATATTCAATGACATTTTAAAGATAATTGTAATATTTGCAGTGGATGATGGGACAGGATTATGGTATGAATAAAATTCTTCTACATTATGTGCGGCCGTTGTGCATTTATGAATAATAAGGTCTGTATGAATAGATGTTCTAGTTAAAATCTGCATATCATAAAAAGTTTGAACTCTACTGAAAATAATTAGATGCAAAGGGACAAAAAATAGACCAAGAATCCCAGTGCTATATATAGTAATGGAAACCAAACTGGTTTTCTGGAGGATTAGCATGAAGAAAAACAAATCTTCTGTTTAAATGTAACCATATATGTCTCTATAAAGAAACAAGGGTTCAAGGTGTCTCCTGGACCTTCATGTTGTTGTTTGGATGCCAATTTAGCAGGTGTTGCAGCACATGTGGAACATGAAGTACGTGAGCTGCCTCGCTGGTCGTAGGAACCCTCTGTAGAGCTTCAAAGCCCATAGGGCTGCTGCTGAGGCTGTCGTAGAGCCGGCAGGAAGACTTCAGGAAGAACAAATACCAAATGTTGCTCCTTTTCCCCCCAGTATAAACAAAGTCCATGTGCAGGGCTGGTGGACTCACTCCATGCAGCTTCCTCAGCTTGTTCAGCCTGGAGGAGAGAAAGCTCCAGGGGTTCCTTAAAGCAGCTTCCAGTGCCTAAAGAGGCTGACAACAAATCTGGATAAGGGCTTTCTACAAGGGTGTGTAGTGACAGGACAAGGGGGAATGGCTTTAAACTGACAGGGGAGATTTAGATTAGATACTAGAAAGAAATTCTCCCCTGTGAGGGTGGTGAGACACTGGCACAGGTTGCCCAGAGAAGCTGTGGCTGCCCCATCCCTGGCAGTGTTCAAACCCAGGTTGGACAGGGCTCAGAGCAACCTGATCTAGTGTAAGGTGTCCCTGCCCATGGCAGGGGATTGGAACTAGATGAGCTTTAAGATGCTTTCCAGCTCTCATCATTCTGCCATTCTATGATTCTCTATGGTAGCCCCCACACAGGAATCTTGGGCGGCTCCCGGCACCCAAGGGCTGTCCAGCTTTCCATTTTTGGAGTGTGTTATTTTTCCCCCCTTTGCTATGATTCAGGAGGGAAGGACTCGTCTTCCCAGAGAATTACTCACATTATGTAGTAATCAAGTGACCACTCTGTCTGAGGTTCTTCCAGAAGGACGTTGCCAGCCCACGCTCCCCAGAAAAGAGCATCTTACCACTCCTCATTGTCATTCTTTTTTCGGTAGGTTTTGTGTCACAGCCATTTCAGGAGTCCCACGACAAAAGAAAAGACTTTTTTTTAATAGAAACTAATTGTACCTCCAGGATTTTTACAAGGCCCATGTGGCTGACCAGGCTCTAGTGTGTTATCAGGTTACTGTCAGCTCTTCTAAGCATTCCCACCGCTTTGTGGCAGTGGGTGCCTAAAGCTGTTGAGTCATGTGAATCCTTGATCCTCAAGCACAATGTGACACCGTGTTACATGTTCAGGTGCTGGTGGAAAACAGGAGCTGTTGCAGAGAGCCAAGTCACCTCCTTGTGTGACAGTTTGTTCTTTGGCTGCTGGTTGGTTTTCCTTGCAGTACGTGGTCTTCAGAAGCAGAGTCATCACACGAAGGATGACATTTCTGCTGTTGTGAAGGTTGCGCAAGTTGTGTACATTGCATTCAGTTTCAAGCCTTAAATAGTGCATAAATCCTTTCACTGACCTGTTTATGGAAGAGACCATGTTTGTTCTTTGCACACATCTCTGTGTAGCTGCCGAGAGAGAAAATATTCTCTTGTGCAGAGGCAGAACCATGACAATCTCCTTATAGAGAGCCAGAGTTCCCATTGCGTGCTGTTCATGGCAGTGCCACATGAACACAAACTCACTGCAGCTGAGTTCCCAGAGACTGTTCCAAAGACATGCGGATGGGAGTTAGCAGAGTAGGAAGACCAAGCAGCTGGTGTTGCACCATTGATGTCGCTGCTCATTGCAGGGGGCTTGGACTAAATGACCTTTGAAGGTCCATTCCAACCCAAACTATTCTGTGATTCTATGACTCAGTGAGCACTAGCCAGTTTAAAAGCTCACATTTGATATTTCAAAGACCAGCTTACCATTTAGAGACCGAATTATCTACTCTGACATTCCCAGGCATGTTTTTTTGATTTGTTTCTAATGATTCAGCAACTCTGGAGCTCATTTTCACCTTCTTCCACTACGCATGCCGGCTCAGAAACTCGTGTTTCCACAGCCAGAGTCACTTCTGTAGGTCCCAATTCCCTCTGGAGAACATATTTGGATGTGAGCGTATGCGTAGCCTTGAAAATCCGATGTTACGGGAATGAATTGGCTTCAATGCTCCTCCTCCAAGGGTTTCTCTTTGCTGCTCGGCGGAGTTTAATCTGGGATGCAGCACTCGCATGACAAGCTGGCCTCTTCTCTGGAAAAGCCTGGCCAAAGGAGCTGGCATCTGCACCCATCTGGTATTTTTGTGAAGGCTGAGGATGTTTTTTGTGCTTGATCAGGCTCCAATATCAGAGTGATTCTTCTGATGTCTAAAATTCTGGATTTGGCTTTTAGAAAAGAGGCTGCACTTTGCCTGGGAAAGGAAAGCAAAGCACAAGTGTCTCCTTGGGCACATAGTCTGCCTCCTATCTCAGAAGCGCATGGGTAACTTTTCCCCTCTGAGTGCTCCAGCCCCTTCCCAGCTGTGTTTTAATCCTTGTTTTCAAGTCATCCTCTGCAGAAGTATCGCAGAGAGCCTCTGCTGCCAAGACAGGCTGCAACACATGTCCCATCCTCATGTGCCAAGTCAACCTTAAGTGTGCGGAGTTCTCTTTAAAACAGTCATGAGCTCTCACGGAGGAAAAAAATAATAATTTTACCCAAGAAGACTGCTCCTATTCCAGTATAAACTGTCTCCAAACATGGAACAGCAGCATGCCATTTTGCTGCATGGGCCAGCAGTGCTGAATGAATTGGCAGATGCTGCGAGATCTCTGGTAGCTGGGCTGCGAGAATGCTGCTCCACTCTACTCACAGCTCCGGTCTGAGGCCGGAAGTGTTGCTTTGCCAAAAGAAGTGCCCCTCACCCAAGCACTGATGGGATAAATTGAGCCTCGTGTTGCCAGGACCTGCTAGGTACATTCACCTTACCCTTGGTGGTTATAAGAGCCTCTGCTCTTTGCAGGAGC